AGTGACTGATAATTTCTTCCAATAGCTTACAGATAATATATTGTGTGAAAGCCTCACATGATATATAAATAAAGTTATGTTACAACAGTATAAATAAAGCATGCTCAGTGTAGTCACCAATGAATTAACTCCAGAGTTACATTTTGTGATGGTGTTAAGGAATTAGTTGATTGTCATACTGAAATGAATTAAAAACAGTATGGAAGGTAGAGAAGTAATATACAAAAGTCTGGTATGTTTTTGGAAAACACATGTCTTCACATTACACACATTCATGTTCAGAACAAGAACTTAACTTCTGTTCTAACTTAAAAAGGCTCAAGGCCATGACACCATGCACATATAGTGGCATTAACAGTAACAGTATGCTTTCTGTCCCGAAATCTCCACTCAAAAATCCTTCATTAGCTGTATTAACTAGTAGAAATTGGGCTAAACCCTTGTGAATGTGGAGAGTAGCCTGAGAATCAAGCAGTAGCCTCAATGAGCTTTGGTTTAGCACTGAGGTGTGTATGGGGGAGGCTGTAAGTATATGAACTGGATGTATTAGACTTCTTATTCTGTTGCCAGACAGCACAAACGGGAATTATGACTCATATAAACTTTAAGGACCAGATTTACTTTACAGGCTTTAGATGTGACGCATTCTATTCCAAACACATGCACTTTATTCATCAAGCAGATGCTCCAGGCTGGTGTTTGCATTTAATAGTTGGCATGGTGCGGTCTCCTCATTGCACACACAATAGGAGAATAGAAGGATGAATATGCATTTCACTTTGGGAACTATAGTGTTCATCAAGTTTAAATTTGAACTGTAAAATAGAGACTGCAACTAAACTTGTTTTTTGTTTTGTTAAGACATTTATGTGCATTAGCTGCAGTTACCTCAGCAGTGTTTGTACCTTGCATATATTTTGTGTGTCTTTGATTTGTCATATCAGGTGTGATATTTTGGGTTATAGTAACCGTTTTTCTCTGGTGAAATAAATATTTTGTAATCATAATCACTACATAATTTCTGACTTAACTGATCTCATAGAAATCCCACTTCTGAACTGTGCCTGTGTGAGCTCCCTTTCACTGGCAGATTGCTGAATACACACAGATTGCAAAACAATCAACCAATTGCCTAACCCCATAATCTGGCCCTGAGGCTTTCTTGTGTCGTCCAGAAACAAAACAACTGCACATTGTCGGGCATCTTTCTGCTCAGTTAGACTGCTACTATCGAGCTCCTATGACCTTAAACGATCGACTAAATCAAACCAACCGCAGATGATAAACCACAAACATTACCGTCTGATCCCTGTAAACCCAATTAGGTGGCTTCCTGCTGAAGACAGACATGGTGCCAAACCTCCTGTGCTACAACCTGATGAATATTTTGACTGAGAGAAAAGAAATCTGGCTTTGGTGTCATAAAAGCAGTGAAATAAAACAAATTACTAAAAAAAGAAATACAAATTGACAGCACCGCCATCCGCTCTCCTTTCTGGCAACAATGTGACATTTACCCGGGCAATCAATGCTCCGACTCCCTGATGTTAAAGCCCATCTCATCAGTGTAGACAGAAAGCTGCATGCATCCTAATCAGAGTGGCTACAGCTGGTGCATGAAGGACATTAAAATCAGCACAGAGCAATCCTATTTTAAGGTTACTGATGAATATGAAGAGTTGTATTACCTTAATAACAACAAACCATGTAATTGTGTATGTAACAGTTGTGGAAGGCACTCACAGTTTCAGCTTGGTGGTATTACTTTGTGATGATATGGTCAGAATCAAACAGCAGACAATGCAAAATGTGTGCAAACAAAACAGATGATTTTTTTTTTTCTTACATCTTTTGTGTACACTTACCCATCCATTTTTACTATGAACAGGCAAGTCACTAATGAAGTTTAGCAGGTAAGTGTCCTAGATTCTCCAGATGCTCTTCTTCTTTCCTATGTAGGAAAAAGCTGAGATTAACAGACAGCTCTGCAAACCTGTGAGCACTGATTTATAGAAACACACAAGCATTCTGGACATTTTTCCACATGAACACAGATTAATTAACATTTTGTTTTTCTAGGGATTGTTCAGGGGGACCATAATGAACCATTATGTCACATGCATTCGTCTAAAAATTTACTTTAGTCCAAATGTAATGACTTATTACTTTACTTATCTTTCAGAGGACCAACTACTGTTTCACGCAGGGCCTTCATGGCTCTGTGCTGGATGTAAAAGCAAGAAGTTCGAAAAATGCAGTGATAGTTGCTGGAGACAAATCAGACTTCAACCAACCAACCTCTGTTGAATTGCGCCATCTAGTGACCGACTGGGAACAAATAATCTACCGCATCCATATCATCCAAATATTTAACTGGATGGGACTACAGGGACACATACACTTTAATGCCATGCATACATACAAATGACGAAGTAACGCTGTGATCTAGCACTATCAACGAAGCCGCGCGTAAAAGACAGATCAAATAACGGCTATGAGAAAAACCTTTTGGAGCTGAAAATAGCTAGAAATATAAACATTTGTAATGTATTTACATGGTGTCTCAGAAGCAGGCTGAGAAATGTATTTTTACTGTATGTTTTGACAAAGTTTTGGCGTGCGTAAAAAAAAAAGCACTTATCCAAAAAAACACATTAGTGTGGACAGAAATAGATACCACCGTGCAGAAATCAGTTACCGTCCCTATTTATTTTGCATCGACCTCGTGGCGCAACGGTAGCGCGTCTGACTCCAGATCAGAAGGTTGCGTGTTCAAATCACGTCGGGGTCATTTCTTTGATTACATTGACGTTGATAACTTGCCAATCAATCATCACACAACCAATCGAATGTCTGCAGGAATTCTCTAGTAAACACAACATCAATACCCTGACAGTGCATCACTCTTAAGAGCAACTCTGGGACTTCAAATATGATAAACTATTAATTTATAGGCTTATTTATGTGAAATTATTTTATAAGAATACAACTTTTAACTTATTTTTCCTTAAACTCCACAACACTCTAATTTTCTTGAAACCTGATTCTCCATTAGCCTGAGCCTGGACATGCAAAGTAGCTGTCACTTTCTACCACAGATCAGTCACAGGTCCTACAATCATATTACTTTTACAAAGGTGTGTCACGGAGAGTGCAAATTATGGAGTTAAGCGTGTCAGCTAAAAACCTCAAATGTGATTTAAAACGCAACTTCGGGAACAAATCTTGGTGGATTCTTTTCACTGTTTTCCTTTCCAAACTCAAATCTGATAACACCACGTGTAAACAGCCTAATGCCCATAGCTGCCATGGCAGATTAAGTTTACAGCACAAGCAACCACCAGTGGCCACACAGTGTGATCTTCTGTCCTGATACTAAAGAGCAGGGAATTAGATAAAGACTTTTTCTGCAAGACGTATTTCATAGCTGATCTGTTATTCTGCATCTTTCAACAAATATTAAATATGAATATCACGCTACCTTTTCAGTCCAGTTCCCACATTAAAAAAAGATCCAATACTGTGGTTCCACTTCGTGGTAAAGGCGCTTTCTCTTCGGCGTCTCATCCAGCAATCATTTTTTTACTTTCTTTCTTTTTTTCCCGCTCCTCTTTACTTCCTTCGCTGTTCTGTCCTCGCCCCAGCTTTCCTTATCCTGTCAGCTCTTCGTATCTCGACATCATCTGTCTTCTACACAACTCGCGCGGCGGTTTCACACGCTCTTCTGTCCGATTCGCTACTATCTCACACATCTTCGTCGCTCCAAGACATCACCTACGCTTATGCCATGCACTCTCATACCATCGCGCGAAACGCAATCTATATGCGAACAGACGACATCACTTTCTCTCACTCCCTTCTCTTCAGTATCATTTGACAATCAGAAATACACTACGTATTGTCACTATTCCCAGCTCACGACAAATCCCCTTCTACAATCGGACATTCCATAAGTTCATAAGAATTCGCACGTTTTATATACAACATTGTATCAGTGACGTAACAACACAATGAGATACTTACTGCATGAGAATCGTGCCTCAAACTTGATATTAGGCAATGGCCTATTTGGTAGAAGCAACACAGCAGGTCTCCTCAAGTCCTCAGGAGTTGACTCACATGAGATTGGTCCTTAGTAGCATCTCAATGTTCTATCATAATGGCCTGATTGTACTGCCGGATTAGCTCACACTACTGATACTTGTTTAGCAACACTGGTAGTCGAATAGAGGAGCAGAAGGTGTCATAAATGGGCTTATCGGCTGACTGTTTAATACCAATTCTGCTTGCGTACAAGGCCATGCTTTTGTTTGACTAACGCGAAGGAGAGCTTACATGCTTATATCTCAGAGAAAAGGCTACATTTTCATTGCCACAGAGTAGCCCAATTCCTTAAAAAATGGCCATATATTTCCCAAATTCCCTCTTTTATTCTATTCATTGTGCCCTATGATTTGAAATGCCAGGGGCCTGAAAATATCCCCATTGAGTGCTCGCCAGTGGGAGGGATTGATGTGGGAGGACAACAGAACAGTCAGAAAGGAGCCTGTATTGAGCAGTTTGTTCAAGAGAGTATTATTACACTGGGAGAGCTCAAATGAAATGTCTGTAAACAAACCCTGTTTCCTAAGTAACACAGCTGAATGTCTCTTTCTTCTCTTTCCGTCCAAAATCTTAGCTACTGCTGAGCAGATGAGGGTGGCACAGTGGTGGCAGGACAGATCATCTGGAAGCCAAAGGAGGGCTGGCAACAGCATGTGTGTGACTGTCACTTGCGATAACATTCCCAACTAAGTTGGTGAGTGAGTGAGTAATTTACGAATTTAATTGCTTTTGTCTTTGTAGCCCTCTCGTTGTATATATATATCTTTAAAGTTTTAAAAGCATTAAAAGTTTAAACGCCAACTCCTTTGCTATCTGAACAACTGTCCTCCAGCCAAGACTGACAGAGAAGAAATAATAGATGAAGCGAAAGGCAAGTACCTGAAACTGATCTGGCGTCGCTAAGGAGACATTAAGACTAGTAAGCCTTTCAAGGATCTCATGAAAAGGGTGGAAAAGGATACATTTCAACCTGAAAAGCAGTAAGTAATAAATACTGTTGAGTGCATAATCCATATACAAGTAAAATTAAAAAGGTAGAATGTCAACCTTTATTGCACACAAAAAGACAAAAAAGAAAGAAAGATGTTATGATTTTTGAACATGGTTTGACTTCCATAAAATCAAAACCTTCACAGTTCAAAGCAAGTCCTCATTTGCCTTGGTTCCACTGAAGGGTAAAACCATAACAGTAAAAAAAGACAAACAAATTTTAAATTTTAAAACACATAAAAATGACAAAGCTTGGTCTCTGTCTCTAAATAAAATTTTAATCAAGTATTAGATCCTTTGAAGTTTTGTTCTTCCATGTCACCAGGCTTACTTTTGCCTCCAATGCGCCTGAAGAAGGATATGAACCCGGACGAGCTCCCCTCTACAGGATTCTCCCCCTTACTGCCGAGCACTGCTCCTTTTCCTCTCATATTTTCTGTCCTTGATCCAGAGGAGTACGACCTTTGAGAGATGCTCCTCTGGAACAATTCCCCCAGCCGGAAAAGGGACGATGGAGACTGCCTGGTTTCATCCATGGAAACCGACCTGAGGATTGGACCGCAAGATACAGCTCTCTGACTGGGGCACTCGGGGAGAGACGCAGAACCCCCAGATGGAGATGTCAGGCACTCCTGGCTGGAGGAATTGGGGAGAGGATTGACTTCGCCACTCTCCCAGACTCCGTCATCAAGGTCATCTCCACCGAACCTTGAGGATAGCCTGCGTTGGAGTGCTTGTCTGTTGGGCTGGGGGCGGTTTCGTTGGGAGCAAGTCAAAGGGCTCAGGATAGTCCATGGGGAGCCCACATCCCCATTGTTGGCAAAGAAGAAGTCTCTGGTTCTAGGACGAGGGGTGCTTGGGGTAGCTGGCGTTTCTGACCGACCAGGAGTGCCTGAAACTCTGTCCCCGTCGAGGCTGCCTTTGCTGTTTTGGTAGCGAAGCACCTTCCGAGTTATCTCGCGCATCTTCTGAGCTTCTTCTTTGTTTCCCATTTGCTCGTCCTCTTTCTGCAGTTTGGGTTGTTTCTTCCCAGGCTTCTCCTGTCTAGTACGGGGCGTAGCTTTATTTGCTTTTCCTGTCTGAGAAGTGTGCTCCGATGGGGATCCTTCGATCGGGGGCAGCAAGTTCTTCCTGCATCTGGCCAATCCCTCTGGAACAGTGGAGAGAAAGCTGTGTAAGGCCGACTCCAAGCTGGAGGAGTCCTGATTTGGCTCAGGTCCTTGGCAAGACACTGTGGAGCGGCGTTTGGCTGCAATACGCACACTTTCCTTCCGCTTGTGCCTTTGCTCTGCTGCCTCTCGCTCTCGGTTCTCCTACAGCCGTGTAAAGAGAGGATATATTCAAACAAGAGGCAACTAAGTGCAAACTAATGACAAGAAGACACCTTAAATACAAAGCACCAGTATAATGCTTTCTATGCTTACCCGTACAGCTGTGTCAAACCGCTTGCAAAATGAATGAAAGATGGAGCAGCACTCCTCGAGTTTGAAAGTAGCTGGGTCTTCGCAGAAGTACTCAGCGACAGCGTTGCTCAGAGCCTTCAGTTCCTGCAGAGAGGACTCCACATCGGCCAGCTTGGCCTCAGCCCTCTGAGAAATTCAAACAATAAAATGGTATAAAGAGGGATCCAAACTGCACAAAGTATTCACAAGCTCAGTCTGTGCCTTTGTACATTTACAGGTCCAGTGTGTAACATGTAGGAGGATCTATTCGCAGAAAGGAATATAAAATTCATTGGTATGCTTTCATTACTGTATCATCACCTGAATCCTTTAAAGCCAAACAACAAGGGGGAAACATTACCATGAGAAATGTCTCCATTTGTTGCAAAATGCCAGGGTGTCTGCTGCTGTACAATTTCACTTCCTTGATCTTCTTGACCTCTCTCTCAAAGTCTGTGATGACCTCCTCTTTACAAATCCTGTTAGAGAGCAACATTTACAATTTTGCATTATGTATTCCTGGTATTGCAAAATTGTGTATCATACAAACAGGATACAGCTACTGTTAGTGAACAAACCCAACCTTGTACAGTAAAATAACCAACTAGATTGTAAGTATACTGATGATAACCACCTTGATGCCATCCCAATGTGTTCAAGCTGGTTGGGAAAAGACAGCAACTCTGCATCGATGTCCTCTGCTTGCTGTGGGTGATAAAGGAGGGAGAGCAATAGTGATGGAGAGATGGAGCAGAAGAATACATCAGTTACACAACTGTTTATGGACACAGCATGACAGCAGGGGTTTTGTCCCTTTTCTTCACTGAGCATCTGTGCATCCCAGGGCTCCTACTCACCTTGGCAACATAATGCATGAGGTTCATGCCAGGTTTGTTGGCCTTGGTGTCTGCCAACTTGAGGAGAGAGGTCATCCTGAAGCCAATGGCATTGGCACTGTAACCACCCTGAATAATTCATTATTTAAAAGGGTCAGTTCATCCCTTTAATAAACATTAGTGTACAGCACCTGCAGTAACGTCATATATGAATATCACATGAAAACTCCATATAACATCAGTGTATACCTTTAGTTTATTAAAAATAGCGTTTGCGTATACCTGAATGTGTAATGAATATGTGTTATTGATTCTTGATACTACATTGTTGTTATTATTTCTTGGAATATACTGGAAAAGGGCCACTTTTTAAGCCCTTGGTTGTTTTTCAAAGCAATTCTCTCTGTGTAAATAAACAAATAAACATGTAATTCTTAAATAAAAATACCAACAGCGTTCATGTAATTCCCCGCTTTCAATACCAGCCGAATGACTGAGTGGAGGTCATCGCATTCCAACAGCTCTACGGAGAGAGAAGTAAAAGAGATGGAGACACAGAACCTTAATATAAATGTCAAACTGAGTGGTGTAAAACAGGAAGAAACTGGGATTGTTAGCAGCTTTAGTGGATGTGTGTGAAATGTTACCATTAGCCCCTTTGGTCATGACAGCAACAGAGTTCTTCACCTCCTCCATGAGAGGAAAGAATTCTTCCCTCAGCACCATCCCTTTCAGGCGTTCCTCATAGCTGAGGGAAACAAAAATAAAACCAGCACTTAACTAAAACTGCTAATTACTCATTTTATCAGTTTTATTACCAATTTTTAAGCCTAGAGATATTTGGATACGGTAAAATCTTATAAAATATTAGCACAGAGTTCCTCAATAGATGCACATGTTTTGATGTGTTGTATGTGAAGTCTGTGGTGCATAAGTGGTGCAATTATAAAAATAATAAGACATATGCAAGTTGGTAGACGAACAACAAAAACAATCCATACATTATTTCACAGCATTTCAGCAATTAATGACTAATGAGTTGGTTTAAGATTGCAAAGAAATTTTAACAACTAACAAAACAAATTAAAAAAAAAATACTTTGGAATAACGCACCCCGGCACTTTGACCAGCTGCACCATGAACTGGTCAGCCTCAGGTAACACAGACAGGTTCCCACTGAATGACAGCAGCTGCTTCATCTGTGCATTAAAAACATTTTTATCATTCCTCATCATAGATACTACAAGATCAAACTGGAACAAAAGGGAACTGGAGGGTGCAAGTATCAATGTTCATTAGGCTTATTTTTAGGCATAAAGGACCAAAGTGGAAATATGAGACGAGAAGAGCTGTCGTTACCTCACTTTCCTCTGGCAGCAGTTTACAAAGCTCTTTTAGTTTGCCTGTTCCAAATCCGAGCCAGTTCCCTTGACAAATGTCCTGCACCATTTCTGTCACTGGCCTGCAGAGGGAGACAAAACACAACAGTAATAATGAAAAAGGAACTAGTCCTGCCTGAAGTCTTGCTATAATCAGCATGACTATCAAAGATGATTAGTTCTGCTAAGTCATGCTAGTTGTTTTTCTACCTTCCAGGCTGCCACTGGTTTCCATTCATTTCAAAACAGTGTGAAAAACAAATCACAGGGACTTAAAACCAGCTCGAGGCGTGTTATCCATTACAGTGACTGTCATGGTCATGCTTTATTTTCTCTATTTTATGTTGCATGCCATTGCTGTTGCGGACCAACTAAATGCTAAACAGCGTGGCAGTCACAAAGTCAAACCCTGAAGACAAACAATGACCAAACATGGATGTCTTTAAAATAATTATGTTCATTAAGTAGCGTTTGGCATTTAAAAAATTGTTTGTCGGCAGCCGACTGTGAGATAGCGGATGTTGCGGCATCCTGGGACCTCTGCCCCAAAGGATCACATACAGTATGGTTTGCACATTTCAGTTTTAACATGCAAAATTGTGCAGCAAGGTGCTCCGAAAATTATTTGTGGTCGCTTATCCATGGAAGGGTTCGTGTAAGTATGAAGTTTCGATATTGTACTGTTGTATTTAAGAATGTTCCTCAGTTGCATATGCATTGGGACACACAGATGCCACATGACAATAACATCACCTTTCTCTACAGCAGTAGCAGGCCAAACATACCAGGCTGTTGAGATATTCAGTCAACACATCACACTTCAGATGAAACTCAACCCTTGTATATTTATAGTGTCTCCAAATGTCAAAATGCTTCCAAATGGCATCATTAAGTGCACTTTCGTCATTGTCACACAGACACTGACGCAATTAGAATTTGACTAACGTTCCAAAGCAGACATCCTTACAGTACCTGGCTGTTGACACACATTGAGAGTGCATTTGGTATTCAAAGTGAAAGCTGAGGGAACCTTGGACTGAAAGTGACATCATCTTGATAAGGTTCTCACACACAAACTCCAGTGCAGAGCACAGTAAGGTCAACTCGCTACCAAACTTAAAAATAAAGTAATAGAATAGCACAAAGTACCTAAAATGTTTAAACATTTGGGCTATTTAATGCAACTATGCCCTCTCCCCCTCATACTTTTACACTTTTAGTTTATTTTTCTCATTAAAATCTATTCTTACTGTCTAGCTGCCAAAATACAGATGTGGGTCAAAAGGGAGGTGAAAAGGAAACACTCGCCCATCAGTGCCCAGAGAGTCCCGGCAAACACAATTGGCTGTGTTAGACGGCAAGTAGGGACTCAACAAGCAATCGTGTCCTTCTTGTTAAACTAGAAACTGTATTTTTTTAAGGGAACAACTATTCAGCTACATTGAAAGAATTAGCAGATACATTACAGTGGAAATCTAACATTGCTACAAACCTGCCGGGTGTATCCTCCCTTTCCATCCTCTCTGCCAATCCTCACATACTAGATCGGGTTTTCCTATCATTTAGGTATTAATACAGTGAACTGTTAAAACAAATGTGTTCTCTGTGTTGTTAATGAGGGCTCCCAAATGGTTTTTAAAGGGGAATTTCCATTAATTTGAATATGGTCCGCTGAGATAAAGTGCCTGCTGGGTGGATAAATGATTAGCACAGAGGAAGTAAGTCAAGATCCGTATTCTGACTCTGTGTGTGACATTAAAGAAGCGTCCTTTGATTCTCAATGCGTTTCCATTGAATCATACTAACTTTCTTTTTTTAGACACGCGTCTCACTAGTATCACTCTCTTTTCGACTGAACTTCAGCAATCCTTACCTCTTGAATTGTCTCAGGAAGATCCCAATATTCATACTCTTTTTAGAATCAAGGATTGTGACCTAAAGAGAGAAGGGGGAAAAAATCATTAATATCAAAAAGAGGTTTAACCTCTGTATAGCCATATTTAGACGAGAAGACAAGTCTATACTCAACATTATTTTTCACATAATCTTTGAGGAAGCAAAAACACTCCCAAACACAGCTTAACTGCAACAGTTCCTCATTGATCACCATTAGTAGTATGGGACATTTAAAAAGCAGTTCCTATTTGTGTGTTCATTACTTCCCTAGCTTGGGCATTCTGGCTTTATTTACATGCCCATAAACTGGTGTAGGTCTGCATCAGTTACTGGAAACCTCTGTTATGCCTGACAAGGTATCTAATGTGGCATGAGTGCAGCCGCTCGCTGTTTACCTGAGGCTCCTGTGGGAAGAGGTCCACGCCATCACAGTTCTTCACACCCATGAACCTTGAATTGCGTAGCGAGGCCCGTTTGTCTACGCTACTGAACAACTCCTCCATGCTCCGAATATCCAGCACAAGGTCCCTCTGAGGCCGCTTAGACGTCCACACGTTCAATTTGCCCAGGACACGCTGGCTGGGGATGGTGTCCCAGTTCAGCTTCTTCATGGAACGTCGCTGGCTATTCCGAGAGCCAAAAGGAGAGGGAGAAAGGACAGAAAGAGGGGGAAGAGGAGGTGGAGGTGGTGGTGGTGGTGGTGGAGGAGGAGGAGGAGGTGGTGGAGGTGGTGGTGCAGTGGCAACGCACATGATGGTAGGCGCAGGAGAAGATGATTGGAGATTTGAATCATCCAGTGAAACAGGAGGAGAGGAGTCTTGAGAAGAACAGCTGGGTGGAGAAGCAGATTTTAAAATCAGCACTCCCTCCATCTGTATCTCTCAAATCGAAAAGATGACGGGAGGAAGTATCCCACTGTTGACCAGTCAGATCTGAGGAGACACAGAAACACAAATCTGTAAAAACTGCAGTATTTTAGTAAAACACTGAATTCCTTTTTAACATGAAATAATGTGTCTCTTATATAAAGTAATCAGTATGTTTCAAATGTAATGTTTTCTCATAGTTTCAGATGATTTCTTTTTATCAAAGTGAGCACATGCAGCTGGCAAAGCCATGGAGGCGATTCAATTCATCAACATCACATTCAAGTGACAAAACATCACAAAGTTCATATTTCTGCAACTGCTGCTTGCTGACAGCCTCACATAACATTTAAGCAAAATGCCACAATTTTCTGGTCAAAAATCCAACAACTTAAATATCTAAACAAATAAGCATTTTCTTTTATTGGGGGGGTTAAGCTGAGTGACCTGTGAAATACCCAAATGCAGACACTGCAGTATGTCAACACTGTACCATCACACACAGAAAGATTAGTCTGGTTATTGCTTTACATTCTACTTCTCTTTCTTTAACTAGGATATATAATAGCATAACATTTACTCAACTAATATAGTGTTCTCCCGTTCAATTAGGTGTTTTTCCATATGTGGATATTACACGAAACTTCACTGAGAAACTGACGCTTTTTTAATTCTCCCTTCATCACAGCAAAAGTAAACGGCTCCCATAACTTGAATTATACCTTAGATTACTTATTAGAGCGCAGGGGTGTGTTCGGCATAGATACCATCCATCATGCAATATATGGACAGAAAAACTTTACTTTTAAATCTGGTTTTTCTACACCGTTTGCTGCTGATGCCCACTGCTCATTTTCCGAGGAGGGAAGCTGTAGAAAATAACATACAAACTAATGCAATTAAATGTGATTATACTGCAATATATATTATTCGATGGGATATTCGTACGCCGAATATAAACGCAAACACAAGTGACAAACGTGTGGGTATTTTCCGACAAACAAGAGATCACTAATTTGACATTTTTTTTAAAAGAGCTTCGATGTCAGTCCTTTCACAGCCAGGGGCTCACAGCAAACCCTCCAACATACACAATGCCACGTAAACAGCAGCGTTTCTAACTGAACTTTCACCAAAGCACCGTTACAGATAAATGTTACTCACCGTGTGTTTAAAATGTAGCTGTCAAATAAATCCTCACTCCGCCGTGCCTCGTGTTCTTGTGTTCTTGCAGTCTACTACAGTCTGCTACAGCCCGTCTGCCTCACTAACAGCAGTCACAGGTGCAGGACGCGCCTCAGCCAATCAAATTCAAGTCAGCCTCCAGGTACGGGGACGCCCTTCAGGGGGGAGGCAAGGGAAAAGATGGGTAACAGCTTATTTACTTTGCTTGCCTTAAAACTTCAGTAAAGGCAGATAAAATACAAACATATTTATTTCTATAGTTAAATTATATAAAATATTTATATATTTATTCATGTCCAAATTAAACAACACAACTGCACAAATACATTTTGTAGGGGGAGCTCCTGCTTGAGTAAATAAGAGAAATTTCATAAATGATGGTTGATCAAGATTCTTAAAGACCCATGCAGGGGTTTAATGAGATTAAAGAGTTTTTTAAATGAATCCAGATGGTTGCAACTCTCTCTGCATGCAACTGAGAAAGCACACCGGGCTAATGTGCAACACACAAAACGAGATGAAAGAGCAAACAGAAAACACAGCCAGAGCATTTGAAAATGTGTACTTTTAATTTTGTTCCCTTGGGGTGGGGGTGGGACTTTTCAGGTCTGAGTGAGGAATGAAGGCAGAGTATCACATCAATCCATGACACAACTTCATTTTATCATCTTTAAATACCATTATGTGCAATCATTCATACAGTACAACACGCCAGCTCAGCCTAGAAAACATTGATTGTACACAAATAAAATATCTCATTTTTATAAATCTTGGTTCTCTCTCGGCAACAATGTAAAGACCGCTAGTAAGAGCAAGTTTGAATGTTTGTCACACTTTTTTTTTTTTTTTCCAATTTACTGGAGGTTTCACAACTACTGAACAAAAAAAAAAAAAATCTATTGCCATTCATTTTAGTGTTTGGGTTAGGAATTTAAAGGGGCAGGTTAGGAAAAGAGGAGTCACATTTAGTTAATATTGCTGTGTGGTGGTCAAACAGACCAGGAGCTGACCAGTGAAAAGCCATAAGTGAGGCCAAGGTCATACTTTTTCAGCCAGAATAAAATACACCCAGTTGACACACTGACGCTTAGAATTCAGAAAAAAACACCATCCAAACAAATCACAGAATCCATTTTTGATATTTTCTTTCATCAAATCCACTTCCTTTTCAGAACTGTCATTGAGTGTGCAGCATTAAAAGTAGACCCAACTTTTAAATTCTGCTTCAGCAAGTTTTAAAATTGAAATCATAAGCATGGCGTTAAAGCCAGTCCATGCGAGCTGGCACGCAGAAGGCCAAGAGTTAGAGCATCAGTGCATCCACACATATCTGCACGTGTACTTTGGATCGCTGCCTGCCATGCAAATACAGAGGAGACAAGAAGCTGGAGGACTAAACTGATCGAGCTCTCCCTTCTGTTACTAGAGTTAAATTCAGCATTGTAAAACATTCATTCTGCTGGATTATCTTCATTTGACTTCACAGAGGGATTGACACTGTGAAACTGAACATTTTCTATCAGTTAGTTGAGAAACATTTTTTTTGGAGTAGATCAATTACAGATTTGGTTATCCTGAGGCATGTTTTTATGTTAGTGTGTCATCTGCAAAACGCTGTGAATGTCATACTCATGAACAGAGTAATGTGCGCAAACCAGAAGTTTCTGTGTACAATATGTTGATTCCAACAGATTAACACACACAAAGAACATAATAAATACAGCAATGAATAACAATTTAACATTACATATGTAGTACCATGCCGATATTTTGTGCTAACAACTTTTCTTAATTGTCAACAATGGATGATTGCTTATTACGATTATACTAAGACAACATTGCAGTTAAAAGAGATAAAACAAATGCTGAATCATTAGTGTTCCCCAACCACTAATTTACACAATTTTATGTCAATATATTAGGATTAGTAATATTAGACAGTTACAGTAATCTTCAGTGTGAAGAAAGGTAACCATAGACAAATATATTCTGTTTTAGGAAGGGCTGAAAGATATAACCCTAGATGTCAATGACACGTCCTTGTTAAATTAAAAAAGAAAAAAACAAACTTAATGACAAAAATACATTTAAATGTATACATAGGAAAAGAAACAAAATGTAATGAATTCCTTTCAAATACAGTCTCTTAAACAACTAAGTGATTCCATTCAAGTTTGTTGGATCTTAACTGACTGTCGCAACTGTCCCTCGAAGCCTCCTCGGTCCACAGTGAGACCGAACCAATCAATCAATGTTGCTCTAAAACATAGCAAGAGTCATCATCATCATCATCATCATCATCCTCCTCCAATAAACAGCTCTCTCTTCTCTTCTCTTTGGGAAAAAATAAAATAAAATTAGTAGAGTATGGAACCAGTATAGCTTTGGGAAGCTGTGTTAGTTTTCCTTAAAACAGTCGTTGCATATACAAGTTGAACTTGGAATTTTCACGTTTCAACCGAAATCTGTAGTGTTTCTGATAATTCGACTAAGCACGGTGGTGCTTGCATTTTAAAACACCAGCACACATTTCCCAAACAGTATACCGTCCTTCACCCTGAAGCACAGGACATACAGCTGACTCAGACTGATATAATTACAAAATAAAAGAGTTGACAGTCAAATTAAGGAGAAACTAAACTAAACACGACATTGTGTTTTTTTTTTTTTAAAAGCTACAAACAATCATTAAACATCTCTTTCAAAAGTGAAACAGTACATAATTTGAAATGTACATTGATTTGAAATGTCACATTCCTTTCCAGTGTACCATTCAGTCCCCTTCATTTGTGGTTTGAAATCTTTTTCTGAACTTATCTTTCTTCCCTTGAGGCCACATATTCATTTAGTACATTAGCTCATATGTAAGGAGGCACACAAGGAGAGCGATAAGGTCTGGAAGAGTTTTGATGTAATGTTTGGCCACATCTGATCTGATCGTGTTCGAATGGTTTTTTACCATTTTTCATTTTCTCATTTGTCTGTGTTAATAAGATGTAGTGGGGTTTAACTCAGAGCACTGGGAGCACTTAAGGAGTACAATAATGGCCAAGAACATGACTAACACAAGCTCACACAGCAAAATGGTGTTCAGGTAGAAGGGGGTTAAGTCAAATAGGAGAGAGGGAAGGGAGAGATGAACAGTTTCTCTGGGAACAAAGCACAAAGAGAAGGTTAGAGTGAAAAAAAGGAAGTTGGGAAGAGGCACTAAAAGCCCCCAGACTGTTCATTGAACTGACCACTTGGTTTCTTGCTGCATTTAGCCCATTCATCAACAATACCCTGCAATTCATCTGTCCAATCATCCAGCCACACGCTCATCTCATATCGTCATCCACCCAATTATCTGCATGTGTTTCCCTCTGTAGTGGTCCTCTGTAAGTAGGGGGTTTCAACAGGTAACAGGTGGAGGTGGTTGAGAAGTAGGCTGCAGGAGGTCCAGCAGACCCTCTCACTGCTCCTCTAACCAGGAAGGCTTGTCAGCCCCTGGAGGCCTCAACTTTATGTTGAACTGCTTCAGCGTCTGCTCCAGCTGCTGCTGGTTGCCAGCAAAGTATGCCGAGATGGCGTTGTGGAAGAGGAGGAGCTGTTTATGCATTACCTTCACCTGAGAGAGAAAGAGAGAGCGAGAAAAAGGGAGATTAGAAACCACATTGGGTCAAACATGGATGTAAACTGAGGCTGATGATGATGCAGGCCTCCCCTGCTCACTGACCTTATTCTCCTCCAGGAACTTGAGTTTAATGATGACGTCTGAGCGGAGGCGTTCATACTTGTCCTTCTGGACTTGGTACTGTTGCTGAGCAGCATCTATGCGGGCCATGGCTGCAGCGTCTCTCGGACCCATGCTCAGTTCCTCCAGGTCTGATCGGTAGGCATCAAACTCCAGTCTGCTCACAAAAGGATGAGAGAAAATACAGAGCTTCAAAAAAGGTCTTAAAAACCTTGCTCTTTACTATAAAATAATGGGATCCAACATGAGCACAACATTTTTTGGTTATTTCACATGATAGATTACTGTTTGTCTGTTTGTTTGTCTGTTTGTTTGTGTGTTGAGTTTCGGAACATCAATCAGGCTTTAGCAATATTTTAATCAAAATGTCATGACACTTGGTTGTTGGTCACCGTCAATAAATCTGATAAAACCTCATCCACAGTCCTGATAAAGTAGATTAACTGAGGATTTCAGTTAAATACTAAGGATGTTATTTTCCAAAACTCTAACTTTGTTTCCCCAGATTTAGTCATACATATTTATTAAAAGTTCAGACTAAATGATTATTTTAAATGTCATGATACAAGTTTCTCATACAGGAGGATTCATTGTGGGCATCAAATAATAAAAATAATAATAATAATAATAATAATAATAATAATAACATATTCAGTCCAGCATTTCATTCAATGGTTTCATAGTGTGCATCGTGACAATACCAATATTTCTGTATTTAATCCCTTTGCTAATCTTCCTTTAAAAAGCGGTTTCCATGCAGTCTCTTAGATGAAAAGAATAATTAACGTTCTGCATGTCCTCACCTGGCATTTTCATACATCTTGATCGTCATCAGGGTGTCCTCCATGGTCTTGTTGACCAGTGTGTTGATGCTGGACACAAAGAAGTTAACGGCACCAAGTAGAGTCTCCCCGTTCTTACACAGCAACTTCTGAGTCTCTGCATTGTAGCCAAATTCATCCTATAAAAAAGGCAAACGCAAAAGAACATGAATGGTATTAATGCGTTTAAATGTCGTCCACATACACCCAAACCAGTGCATCTTCACCTTTATTTATTCAACTTTAAAGATGCAGATCAATATCCAAGAGTTAAGACAAGGCTTGATAAAAGCTACACGAATAGATTTTAAGGTCTCACCCGTAGCTCTGGAGATTTCTGACTGAGGTCAGCAAAGGTGTCACCCAGCGCATGCTGCGTCTGCACCATGTTGTAGAAGTGGTTGGTCAGCGCTCTGGCCAATCGCAGCACGTTCTCATATTTCCTTTTAGTGTCTCTCAGCACCTCAATCTGGGCCTCCAGCTCCAGGTCCACAGTCCGGGAACCCCGACCAAAACGCTCAGAGATCATTTGCTTTGTACACTAAAACAATGAAGGAAGTGAAAAGAAAATTATTTGATACCAAATAAACCTCAGGCACACACAAAGTTATAAATCACCATATAAAGCTATCATCCATTCACAGTTTAACTTGTTAGCTAACGTTACAGAACCTTTGATACCTTGTAAGTGTTGAGACCCCACTTCTTCACTGTTTCTAGTTTTTCCACAGCCACACCGCGGGTTGCTTCCTCTGCCATCATGCTGGAGTTGCTGCTGCTGTGGTGCATGTTGGAACCTGAGAGATAAGATTCAAGATTCAAGATCAGCAAAGAATACACCAAACATAGAGTCCTTAACTCAAAGTGCATTAAAACTGTGCCACATTCAATTAAGATGGTGTCTGGAATCTGTCTGCTATCTCCCAACCCATGTCCATCACCACTAGCCCTTAAACCACTCTAAAGCATGCAAAGGAGTGATATGGAGTTAATGAGTGCGAAAATAGTAGGAAATGTAGCAAATGAAACTGAGAAAAACAACCCTAACATTGTAAACACAAATAAATTATTTTTATTGAGCTGTGATAAAAGGTGAAAATACTGTAGACTGCAGGAATATTTTGGGTCACTGCTAAAATGTCAATCTGATTAATCAATGTAAAGCCCGGTTGAGCATTCAACTTCACCCTCTTTCCCTCCCCAGTACCTTTGTATTCATTTGATTGGCTTGCTAGGGGGCAGAAGAAAGAACTGCTTGAGGGAACGCTACTTCGCCTGGCCTTCATACGCAGGTCTGTGACAGTGGATGGAGGGTCGGATGGGAGGGTATGGATCAGGGTATGGATCAGGGAATGGATCAGGGAATGGATCAGGGAATGGTTCAGGGTTTGGGTTTTTTTTTTTTTACAAAATATGGGGATGTTTTTTATTCAGGATCGGGATTTAAAATGATAGTTGGATATTTAGGGGTTTAAACATGAAGTAATTATTGAGGTTGAACAAGCGTGCCAATAATGGGACGATAGCGTGGGAGGAAGATTGTGGGGAGGAGCAGGGAGATGCAGGAAAGTAAGACGACAAAAGGGAGAAGAGGAGGATGAGGAGCATGTAGGAGGAAATTGTGAGAAGGGGGTGGAGGACAAAGATAGACAAGATGAAAAGACAACATTTAGTGCATCACACTCAGTGAACAATGCAGACAAATGAGTGATGATGAAGACGGGGGCAGTTTGAATTGCAACAGGACTAAATAAACTGGATCAGCCCTTTCATTAAATAACAATAAATGGAAATGATTAACATGAGAGAAATGAGGGCCTCTAAAAAACTAAAGTTTACTGAGGTCCTCCTAGTAATATCTTACTTTTGCCATCAGTATTCAACATCTTAATACAAATACACACCGCAAGTTCAGAGATAAGTTTAGTGAGTTAGTAGCCCTCGTAATGGGTGAGTTTAAAACTGCAAGAGAAACCAGCCAGGAAGTAGAGACAGACCGTTCAAAAAAGCCAAAATATGCCCAAGAGGAGCAACAGGCAGAAATAGGTCTACCTCCTAGTCGATCTCCACTGATGAAGAGAACATTTGAGAAAGATAAAAATGGGACAGAAAAGCTGACTGAGCAATCTAAAAGTAGACAAACTCAGCATAAAAAGCGTCTTTCCAAAATGCGATATCCATGATGTGAGAAATATCCAATACAAATGGAAGAAAATCACATGATGTGTTTTGCTGTTAACAAAATGTTCTTGCTTACCAACAACTGTATTTGCTGACTGGATGTCCTAGATTCTATAAACATCTTCAGATCAGCAAAAAAGGATTCTATCACATTTTGGAAAAAAGCTCTTTATTTCTAATAATTAGGTTTAATGAGCCACCTATTCCTGTAACTGGGATCCTTTTGTTAAACTCTGCATTGTAGCGCACAGCAGGGCCTGAGAGAGAGAGAGACGCAGAAATATTATTATAAAATAAGAAGGTTAAGTATGGAGAGTGTTGTTATTTCCCCTCGACCCTGTGTATACAGCTGCTGAAGTCAATGCCTTGAACTGGAAAAGTTAAGTGCTAGAAGAAACATTGCAACGATTAATGGGGAGTACCGGTGTTTGATGTAGGGAATACTCGACATGATGTAGTTTTAAACCAACCATGAAAAGTCTTTCAGTACTGTTACAGTACTGTTTCAGTATATCTGACTTCAGAAGGTCATGAAGTGGCACTTGTGAGAGGCATTATCATTAAAACAATGCAAGGTGCTCTGTTGGCGTGGCAGAGCAGTTTCAGGTAGCGGTAAGCGGTCAGTTTAAGTAATAGGGCATCAGACATCAAAACACTGCACAGCAGTTTATGATACCATGAGACAGGATTTTTCAACTTTAATTCTTTTAAACTTTGGATTGCTAACTGAACTATACAAATGCTACATTCACAAAAGTTATCTAAGAGGAATGTGCACTTGCCCATATATGATTGGCCAACGCAGCACGTTGCCGATTGCTGTACAAGTCTGCGTTATCTTAATGGAGCCCTCTGTGTCATCACTTAGCTCCTTGGAAAAGAATGAGGGGACTTTCTCACACAGTGCTGTTGTCTGTCTAAACACAGCCGCAATGGAAGATGATTGAATAGCACTTTTAAAAGGTTTTTATATATATTAGCATGTTATTTCCATCAAGTGTGATGATCACTGTAGTACTTTTAGTAGCATTTAAAAACCTAAACACTCTGGTGCTCACAAATGGTTTTTAAAATCAATATAGTTCATCATTCACTCTGCCTCCCTGCTTTATCCCCTTTCTGGCCACAGAACCATCACAACTGAGTAATACAGACCACTTTTCAGATACAGGGACGGTCTAAACTAGAAATGAAAAGGGACAGAAATTGACCACCAATTACAGCAGATGAAATGCAGCCGGCGATGAATGATCTCAGGCCCTAGAAATCAAACACTGGTCCTCTGTATAAACTCGGTGAATAACCCTTGAGTCAGAGGCACAGCAGCAATACAGCTGAGAAAAGACTGAAAAGATGTCGCGAAGTGGGACTCTACCTTTGATTGAGCTGGTGGGGATGATACCCTCTGCTGTTCCTCCATAACCCCCGGAGACGATGCTAGTCTCGTTGAGATTAGGACCTGATACCATCACCTGCTGGAGGTCCTGCACATGGGAAATAGAAAAAAAAAAAAAAAAAGAAGAAGAAAAAGCACAAAGGGAAGGATAGAGGGTTTTGGGCAGGGATATGTAGACAGGAGATTGATGACTTGAGTGTTAAATTCAGACATTGTAGACAATGTAGGTTAAAGGCTTATTCACTAGAGGGGGACAAACACTACTATGTTAGGAAGGTTAGTCGGCACACAAGGCACTTATCTGGAAGCCAACAGGGAGAACTATAACGTGTGTGAAAGACAGAAAACACACCAGTTAGGTGCCTAGTCAATAATCAACCTAACTAATGACTTGAACTGGATCTCCTGCCATGAAGGGAGCAAGCAAGAGAAATACAACACCAGAGCTGTGATAGACCTAAAGTCTTACCCAAGCAGCGACTCAAATGATCTATGCCACAGGAAATGCTCAAGCAAACTATTTTCTCCTTCCAAATTCAGCGGGGAGCTGTGTTACGAGCCACACGATCAATCTTGTGTGTGTTTTCCTTAATTTAACTCACTCTTTTCTTTTGTTTGCCTTCCTGCTCAAGTATCAGCAAGTAAAAGACAAAAAAAACACAAAAACATTTGTGAGGAGTACAGAAAAGGAAAATCGAGTCTGAACAGATTTCTCGCTGTTGCGAACCATATGTGAGGCTTGGTTCCCACAACAAACATGTTTTAATTGAACTGCTGTCTGTGCTGTAAGCAAGCCTCTTATTTCATTTCCTACAAACACTGCGCAGTAACTGAACTATGGGCAAAGACCCATATCGTCCATCGTAAAATGTACACGTAGCATGATATATAGGACACTTCCTGAAACTTTGGGCCTAATCTCTCAAGGAAGATTGTGATAAGGAAACTTTAGGCTCCTGAAGGGAGGTGGCCATTTCCTCATAGTAAGCAAACAAGAATATGTTTGATGCTTCCAAAAGGAAGTAAAAATGCAACTGCTGGAGGTTAAACAGCATTCAATGAGGGAAAAAAAATTATCTTTTCCACATGTATCTAGGCTTTGTAGTCATGGTCAGCTCTCTCTTGACTTTCTTGCCCAAACACAACTATATTTCTCATTATGACTGAAACATCAAAACAGAATGGCGGTAATGGCAACAGATTGTAATATTGACTAAATGTTACCTGTCAGCTATTTTGTTAACACTACACAATTTGAGGGATATCTTTTTAAAACATGTGAAGAGTGAGAGATTCCTTCAATTTAGAGTTAGTAGGGCTACGTTAACAGGCAGCACAATTCATGCTGCGCAGTGGTTTGCCATAAAAATGAAATATCTGACATTTTGTGAAATAAATAAACGTAGTGATGCGAGGCAATTTAATGCCGAACAAAGTCAAACCACTGAGCAGTACAACACACCAACATAAACACACATACACACACACACAAATGCACAAATGGCCTGCTCACCCTGGTGTCTCTGGAGCTCCCTACCTTCTCATCTAAGCTCCAGTGCAGTTTTGCAGCCTGCACAGAGATGGAGGAGGGGGAATCGACGAACACGAGAACAACAACAACAAAAAAGGAAACAAATAGATAAGGAAAGGAGACAAAAAGAAAAATCCATGACTGAAATCATGAAACAAGATAGAACGATGTAAAAGAAATCCCAGAAAAATCATTCTAATGTCCACAGACAGCAGGGATGTAGGATGGAGAGCAGTGATGACTGATATCACAGCAGGTCAGGATGCATCATTTTTGCTGGTTTATGCAAAAGTTTCAAGTGGATCATTTAGGGTTTAGTCATGTTTTCATCTATAATGTATTACCACATCATTGCCGTGATATTATTCCATCACTGTCTGGAAAAAGAAAATACTGATTCTTGTACAATGCTGCTCAAATGAAGATAATCATTTAGGAGACTTTTACATACAGACATTAAAAGGTGGCGTTAGGGGAAATAAATCACAAAGGAGGAACAAGTGTACACACACAAAAAAAACGAATTCCAGGTAGCACATTGTGGTTGCCAGAAAATACATTTCTCTATTTTAGCAATTCATTTTGGATCATGTTAGTAGTAACATGTAACCTTTTAGCCAAATGTCCTTTATCATAGCAACAGTGCCAATTTCTGTAACCTACAATGACAGTTTTCTCTTGGAAAGATGGATATTTTAAACACACAGGCACTCAAACCAACAACAAAAAAACAACACATTTAAAAAGGATAAGACAGTCCTGTCTGACTACATTTAGCCCTTCATTCGGTCTACGTATCTCTTCTTTTAGAGATCTGCCGTCATGTTGCTGGCAGCTGTTCAAGTTGGGAGAACACTGACGCAGACACGGAAGCTTTCTTGGACACTTTGTTGACACAGTGCCCGTTCACTGAAATGAAGGAAACTACAGCACCTTCAGTCATAACAACATAAACGGTCAATAATATCTTCACAGTGAGGTTTGGTAGGCTTATGAAAATGCACCAAACCACTATATTACAAAATAATAACTGAGTGGTTTTGAAATTCTAATAAGACAATTAGGATATCTCCAAATGAATAGCACAAGCAATCAACTCTGAGAAACTTCATCTTAAAGTGCTGTTGATTGTCTGAGTAGACATCAGTGAGATGCATCTGATGGTTCTGCCAGGATGGTGCTGGCAGTCAATCCCATCTCTGTCGCTGTCAAGCTGCCAGTCACCCTCCCTGTTCTGACACAATCACAACGCTACAACATCTGAAACCAGACATCTGCTCTTCCTTAACCTGCCAATCTTCAGCGCTGTGTGACTCTGCAAAACGGACTTCGGCAGCTGTAACTAGAAATGCTGCACAGTAGATATCAATCTGAATTCAGAGGGCTTTCACCCAAGGACAAAGCACAACCAGTTTCAGATTAATTGCAGAGTTGCTATGACAACTGGTTAATATCCAGCACTGCTAAACACGGCACACAACAGAGGAGCTAAACACTTGCCATCTATGAACACATTCAACTGAAATACACACACCAAATGTTTGAATACTTGTTTCATGGTGTAAACTGGGTGAGAAGGTAGGGTTTTCTCTTACTACCTGAGTGGGAGCCACATATAGTTTGGTGAGCAAATAACATAACTGCCAGTGACTCCTCCAGGATCTTCAGTCTGTTTGTCCAACAGGGTGTGCCATAAGATGTAGGAAAACGAACAACCCTTTCCACCCTACTTGCGCTGCAACTCCACTGTTATTTCAATCTAACTGACTCAAACACTGCTGAAAATGATGGAAACAAAATGCTGGTGTTCAACCTTAGGCTGGAGTATAATGTCTTTGCCTTCAAATGAGGCTGTAAATAGATAGTTCCCAACTGGACAGCAACAACTACATCTGAGAGTTTAGCATTTCAGTTAAACGCATAGTGTTAAGGTTAACCAAATACACCAGAGATGTATCTGCAACCCCCAACATGAGGCCACATGAGCCGTTAATGGGAACAACTGATTACCAAGGAGACAGCTGGTTACTAACACTTGATTTCCCAGTAGGATCTCTTTCCACAGTTGTTGTAGATCTAAGGATATCTGGCAGTGTATGGCAGGCAATACATAATACAAGGATAGCTAAGCCCAGGCAAAGAATAATATTTAAGTTCACAAAACTGGAATACAGCTTCTGACTGATCATTCTGTTCTGAATACTTGAATAGAGATATGTTAAATAGAGAGAATAACAGTAAATGCCACATTCATACAACCAGCATACAGGAATGACAACTGTAATATTACCGCACAGTGGTGCTATGGTACGAATGGTATTACAAGAGCCAACTCACTTAGCTAATCTCATGATTGCTGAGAACAATACCCAAAACAACAATGTAAACTTCAAACAATTGAAGGCGTGCATTTATCCGTTAACAGTAATGATATCAGCTGGCCTAGGTTTGATTTTCTTCATGTGCTTATATGTGAATGATATAACCTTCAGGGATAGTACTGTATCTGTATGTATTGAATGCAACATTAGAAACATCAAGCTAAAGCCATTGTTAGAATTTCCTTAGCAGAAAAACAGTGGCAAAAAATATGAATACTCAGGTGGCCGATGAAAGAACAGATACTAGTCATTGTGATTTCAAAATAATGTACACAAAAGTGTACCCTTAAACTAAAACAATAAAAATATATTTTTTTATTATTATTATTTAACAAGTGCTTATAACTATATATATATATACATATATTAATTAGCTAAATGAAACTACCCATACTAAAAATCATATTATTGCTGCTGTAGAACACATAGCACACAGCTACAGGGCCGACAATGGTGTACAAGTAGGAGCTTTTTTTTATGTAGTAAAAAATTTGTTAAATTACTGCCAGGTAAATTAATAAGAAAATAAACCACTCTGTATTATCTTCTGTTAGCTGAAGTTTTTGAGTATGTAAATCTTCTGTCTTCTTGGGATCACAAATAGTTTGCACATTTTGTCCTTGTCAAATAGCTTTAAATGGGTAAATAACAACTATACAGGGTGGTCTCAAAATGTTACACACAGTAGACTGTCAACTAATACAGTAGCCGCGACCCACCTGTTCGAGGCTGTCGTCCTCCGGTAGTGTCCCTGTGTCACCATTACTGTTGATAGGAATCTCCATTGTGGCAGCTTTACTCATAATGCTGTCTGTCATAATGCACTGTGTCTGTGAGAAACAAGGAGAGAGAGATAAAGTGTGAATACAACCAACTGTATGTAAATCAAGTTAAAAAAAAAAAGGCAGGGATGGAAAAACAGTGAGGCTTAAATGCAGCTTTGAAGAGAAGAGACCAAAGGGTGTAGTCAAAACAGCCAAATCATTAAGCAGATGGGAATATAATTGCCACAAACAAGCGAGGAGGTGGTTTTCAAAGAGCAAGGCTACCGCTCAGCATAAAAACAACACACCTAAAGCCTCATGCACAGGAGCCGCCACTACAACAAGCTGTCTTGCTGAAGTGGCCACTATTCAAGTTGTACAATCACAAATGCACAACATGCATATGGGAGTGAATTCACAGCTTTATTAATTCACTCCCACAAACACTAATGAGGGCTCTGTGTGTAATGTATGTGTGACCACAGCTGATGGTGCAAAATTCAGACCAACAGGCCTACACATGTGAAAGATGCTTATCATGGTTTTCACATTGCAGAGCAGGGTTTCTGTTAAACAGGTAAACGTTACACAGTAACATGTTACATGTGACACACAGCAGCGCTGCACAGAGATACATGAAATCCAACAGTACAGTAGGCGATTCATTATGCACTTGTGGGTGTTTTGTGGTCTTTTTCTTCCTTGGGCCAATAGAAAAAGGCTGGAAACTGTAGTTACAAGTTAATTATGTTGATTTTATTCAGATGGAAAACAATGAGCTGCTACTAAGTGAAAGTGAGGCTAAAATGTAATATGCTTGCACACTTATGTAAGTGGCTGATAAAGGATGAATCAAAGAGCAACTGGCAATGGGTTATAAAAAGTTTATAATATTCTTATCAATTTATAAAATGCCTAAAGATTTAATTCTGAATATTCTGTTCTGAATTGATGTTTAAATGCTGGTAACAGGTAATCACTTAACATGATTACTATAGGCCTGTATTGTGCTTTTAAAGCCACTGGTGTGTATTCTCACATGTCTTTGAATTACAATATATATATATATATCACCCCTGAAAATCCGGAAACAAAACTAAGCCAATAATTTGAATAAGTTTTAAAAAAAGACAACCACCTTGCTGTCCTTGTGAGATTTGCTACGACGTAACTTGAACATAACTATATGGCAGGTTTGCGGCAGTTGGATCACTTTCTGGCACCATTATCACAGATGTTTGAAGGCATGTACCAGTACCGCTTGTTTACATTTGGTCTCACCCCTCCCAAGTGGGCGATATCTCTTGGCCATGCCTAGCCCATTTCCTGAGGAATGACACTCTGTTGACTTAGGATTTGCTCTGTTCATGCCCAACAATCCTCAACAGAGACACTCCTATTTGTTTGCTGCACCAAAAAACTGGATTGACATCTTCTCTGTATTGACTGTTCATATCACTTAAAACCAATTTACCTTGTAGGGTTATATGGTGGAAATCCAAACAAAGTCTGCTCATTGAACTGAGATTCTACACACTTACAGTACAAAAAAAATACAAAAAAAAGCTTTTTAATTAGACATTAAAGGTCTCCATAGTCTGAGCAACCAAGGTAGTCACTTTGCATAACATCTACATCTGAAACAGGCCCGGATCTAGTACAGTATTTAGTCTGCAATGAGTGCCTCAATCCACTGTGTTTTGACTCTCAGTCAAGTCACTTAGAGGCTGAATCAATGCGAAATGGCAACAGGGCCTTTAGATATTAGATTGCACATTATTATTGACTGTCTATTATTAGGAACGCACAGCCTTCAAAATAACTTTAACCAGCACTGAATGGGCTTAATACAACAGAGACAGTGTACATGATTAGGTATCAGTATTCCCAACGTAGGATACAATGAGTAATAGTTGACTACACAGTGGACGAGAGTGGAGCCGTTTGACTTCAAATCCTGGGAGCCAGAACAGGTGCAGCGGCACAGGTGTAACAGTCTCCAGCAGGTAACGCTAGCTGCAGGCCCCCGGTGCGTTCAACCTGCCCAACATAGTGGGGGTTCGTTCAGGCCGGCCAAAAAAAAAAACAAATCAGAATCGCTATTTCTTGAGAATTTGGAATTGAAGCATGTTTTTTTTTTATACATTTTCTACAAAAAAGGGCCTGCTTCGAGTTCACACATGCAGCTGTTACTGTAGCTGGGGTTTTTTTTTTTAAATAAATGAAATGGTAAACAACCCTTCACTGTGCAAAGCTTGCTGGTTAACAATAGCAGAAATGTTAAAAATAAATAAAATAATAACCCCACCCAGACAACATTACAACGGGTTGACTTACGGTGTGCTTGGTCCCGTCGTAAAAACACAGAAACCCAGAGCTGATCGGGAAGCTAGCGAGCTAATAAACAGGCTAACGGCGGTGCATCCCAGTTCCTGCGCTCTTAGAGGAGACTGGTGTGTCTTTGTCAGTCCGAGGGGGGAAACTGCCCGCGGGAAACAACGCAGGGCTCTTGTTTGAGAGTATTTTTAAATAAGGTAAAGCCTTGTTCTACCTGCGTTTGTCCTCTGACTCCTCGTAGATAATCCTCTATCTTTTTTTTTTTTTTTTAATGAAGCCAGGAGGAAAAGCTTTACGGAACTGACGACACCGTGGAATTCATTTTGCCGACGCTCACCGATCCGAAGATCGTTTATTTACGATAAGATGGATCACTTGTTAGAAAAGCAAAAAGCTGCCATGGTTGCTACCTGGTGCTAACCATCACCATTACCAAGCAGCTTGAAAAGTAAGTAGTGTTTAGTGTTTAGAAATATATGTATAAATTAATATAAATGTATATTATATTTTTTGTATCAAAACTACTACTTACTGAGATAGTAAAACTTGTTGTTCTGTTGCATTCCTTCACATTTATGAGTCGTCCACTGCAGCAATCTATTTACACACATCTTTAGTGATCTTTAATGAATGACATTTCAAGTGCAATGTGCTTATTATATTAATCGTCGTTTGATGCTTTTGACAACATATATACACAGTAGGCTTTGAGCACATCCCCTCCATCACACCTCGAAAATGTACCCGGAAATTGGAACCGAGTGAGATATCTTAATTTTACCTCCCTCACTCGGCCACAGCCCATCTTTGGGGGCATCCTGCAGGTGATGCGTGCGGCTCTCAGCCAGCTGTTGGTGGTTGCACGTTAACTCAGGCAAGTGTGAGTTATTTTGATTGCGCCCCAAGAAATGCTAAATGCTAAAGAACGTATGACCCCTGTGAATCCAAAGGGCGGATACGGATGTAAACTCCATTATTCCCCCAAAAACCCTGCCCCCTGTGGCTGCAGTTGTAAGTTCACTTTGATCATGGAATTGGGGCACATTGACATGTTCTGTGCCGTACAGTAACTAAGCTTTAACTAAGTCTGAGAGATATTTTTAAAAATCGTCATGCAATATGAATACTTTACCAGCATGGTAATATGGCTATCCACTATAACAAACACAGAAATATAAAATAAATGTACAGTGTGCGGTTGAGAATATTTTTGTGGCTAAGGTGGCGTGATTATTCAACACATTAATTGTTTTATTTATTTTTTCAAAAGTTAGTCTGCTCAGAATTGTTTGTGTCCAGCAATAAGTTGTCAATGTACCAAATTATACTTGCAGGTTTCTTGAAAAGGCTTAAATGCATTTTGCAACAACACAGAGCTGCACTGTCTCCTCCTCACAGATAATGAAAAAGAGAATACCTATTGTAAGGGGACAAACATGCAAACACCACCATCCCCAAACAGTCAGCCTATCATTAAAGTAGCTTGGAACAATGGGACAGCCATTACAGTGGGCGTGTAGTAAGTAGTCTGCCATAAGTAGGCTATTGTATTATAAAATCTGTTTTCGGATTTATCTTTGCTCCTTGATTGCACATGACTCCAGTGAGTTTTAAACGGTTTACTTGGCATCTCTACAATTTGTGTGGTGGTCTTTATGACCTGCTTGTAATTTCCAAACCTCAGGCTGTGGCCAAAGTACAATCTAGCTACAATACCGCCCTCTGTGGGTAAGTTTCAGTATAGGATCTCCTGAGGAGGAAAACGCTGATGGGCTAGTGTCTTGTTTTTTTGGTTTTCCTTCCAACATTTTCATAAAGACCCTGTGTGATCTTAATTACTGTTTTCATTGTTCCCACATATGCAAACAATCAGACTTTAATGTTGTTTGTAAATGGAAATTTAAAATAGACAATTTGCAAAGTCAATTCAATTTACTTTAACTGACCACAATAATCCATTCTGTATCCACATGACTTCAGTGGGAGTCTTATCTATTGAAAACAAACAATAAAAGTTGGAGCATATCAAATAGTAACAGTCTGCACAGTTTCTGTCAGTTCAAGGACATCTAATGAATGATTAGATTCTTTAGTCACACATATTTAATAATAATGGTGAAAGGATGGTTACAGCCAGTACATACATACACTTACAGTGCATTAAAAATGGTTTCACAGAAGTCAATGCTATGCCATGCTCAACTGACTCAAGTCCCTCTCATTCTACCGGGCATCATCCCAGTTTGATTCATCTTCTAGGTGACTGTTTTATGAAAGAAACACAATGAATGTTTGAGCATAACACTGGCATAAAGCATATACTTCTTGCACTCGAGTATGAATGAACCACTGTGAAGAATGTTTACAGTGCTGGACGAGCTCCTACAAACACCGAGCGGCTGAGGGGATTCAAACTGCTTCTGCAGTCAATCAGAGCCTGAGGGAGGAGGTTGGAAGTGAAAGCAAGGGAAAGAGTGAACATTTTATTAATGAATAGATTGGAGGCTGTGGAGCCAAAAGAAACTCTTCTGATTTTTGAAGGGGCGTGAAATGCCATATGTTTTACCAATGGAAGTGTGCTTGAATACGGTATGATTTTTCCAGCTGTCTGTGCATTATTTGGTGCCAGTCATCACTACCTGTTCCAGTGAACATGGTGTTGTGAAATTTCTTTTTCTTTTCTATCCTTCAAATAACTTCAAAACAACAAAAATATTATACAGCTTGCGAACATGTGAAGAATATAATCACATCATAAATATCTGCAGTAGCAGCAGCTGTGTGTCTGTAGTGCTGTCCACCCAGATTATAGCCTACAGCAGTCACACTCCTTCTCCAGATTTGCCAGTTACCATCAATTTCTTGACATTCATTTTTATTTTGGAGTGAATCTTTATTTATTGGATTGAGTGGATTTATTGACTCTTCCTCTAGACATGCTACAATTAGATTAGTTCCATGTGTTTTACACATGAGAAGGTAGATGACAATACTTGAGGGGATAGCAAGTATGAAAACATGGATGATAATATTAAATGAAATGGCCAGTGTTATTTGCTTTTGGCCTGATGAGGACAACCAGTGAAATGCAAATAAATCACAGTATTTATTTTATGTATGATGAAAATACTGTAGTTTTAACCTCAAAAACCAGAGAACACACAATTGCATGCCAGTGTGTTAAGTAAATTAACTTGAAATTCATCCCTCCAACAAGATGAAAAAACAGTCATGAAAACAGCTGCATTTTTAATCAAGATATCAAAGCATGTGCTGCACAGGAGAGATGAGTTGCTTCCACGGAGACATATGTCTGAAGTTATTATCTTTACCAGCAACTCCACCACCTTTCCCACAAATCAAAGACCATAATTCATAGCTGGTTTTTACTGTCTGTGTTCAGTCATATGTGCTTTTGCTTTTATGCACATGTGGAGGACTGTTATTGCATATTCACGTAGAATAAACACATCAATTATGTTCTCACTTGCTGTAAAATCACAGGAAACTGTGTCCATTTGTGACAAATGTTTAGCACTAGGGGGGAACCATTTAGGGAAAGCATGAACATACAGTCTTGGCGGGGAACCACACATACCCAGTTGTGTGCGACCATTCACTGCTGCTATGGAAAATGCAGAGTTAGCAGTGTGAAACACAGAGGAGGTAAGTACATATTTTTCTGTTAAATGTCATGGTTGTAGAAAGTGCCAGAGAGAGTCTTTGATGTCCAAGTTAGTCAGCGACCACAAGAAGAGTGAGTTTGGCCGCAGAACGACTAGTTACTGGAATTAGGGGATGTTATTCCTTACTCAGTCGTTAGTGTGCAGACTCACCTGTTGAATCATATGAATCCTCACGCAGATTTTGGGAAAGTTTCATCCAGACACATTCACGACCCACGCAGCCACTTTCTCCATGAACCCTGAACATAAATCAGAAATAACTGCTGGCACATCTTAACTTCTTAAACCCAGTCACTAAATACTGAATAAAAAGCATTTTCATTATGTACCTGATATGCCCTCATGAGGGCACCAAATCCCAAACATAAATACAGCCAAAGAAAGAATCAGGTCTAAATACACAAAGAGCAGACTTCATATAAGCTACTGCAGACTAACAAGATGCTTTAGTTCTCATCATCAAAGAGACAACTCAGTTCAAAAGCTGATGGAGCAAATTAGCCTGGATATCAACTCTGAAAAGAAAAATGATGCGGCCACATGATGATGATCACAGCAACTTTTACAGTCACTTCATGATCTACTGTGTGACTAATAGCCTCTCAGAGCCACGTGGAATCATCTGCTGGTTTCACATGTGGGCTTCTCAGCTTATTGTAAACAGCCCACTTAATAAACATGCCAATTACTACCAGGCCCTAAGCAAATTACATTGGTATATATTCTCCGAGAGACCACACCAGCCTTGATTGCCTTTGTTCATCAGCTAATCAGAAATGCTGCTAATAGACCGATGTTCTCTTTTGAAGTGTTTACATTGTGGAGAGACACCCCACCCTCTTTTCAAACAAAGCGTGTTTGACCTCACAGCAGTTGTTTGACGCTGAAGCTGTGTGCACCCCACTAAGATGCTGTATTCATGTAGACAAATTCCTGCGAAGCAGCTGCACATGCACTCGAACACACTTTTTTCATTTTGTGTTTTAAAGTCATATCACTGTTTAAATGTTTTGACTGACCATGAAGCTACTGAAGGCAGGGTGTTCCAATCTTCAATAGCAACCAAAAAATTTCCAAAAAGTCCTTCTCATCTGTTCTGCATCAGGAGCAACAAAAACATCGGCATCTGCCCTGAGGTTTGCAGGGCTTTCTATAGCTGTGTATGAGCCATTCAGGAGTCACCCTGAGTAAATATTACAGGTCATTGCCGTTGAAGGTTTTTCTTTTTCCTTGCAGGATGTCGTGCTGCTGTTTTTGTAAAGCGTGTGCATTGCTGAGCTATAATATTAGTACAGGAGCTTTCAAACATCAGTAGTGTGAATCCTTTCCTTCTGTTCTCATTGATAAGTGACAGAATTTGTATTCAAGCCATAACAAAAACTGTAGATTCATTCCCCATATTTTGCAGATTTCCATATTTTTATTCCTGATTATACAAACTTTACTCAAGGCCACCTCCTAGCTTTTTCCGCTGGAGCTTTCAGCAGCATCACACTTTCTTCATAAAGAGTTTCCACAGTTGTGATGAAGATACAGTGGCTCAGTTGTCATCACATGACATACTATGACAATGGAGCTGCTGTATCTCCATGACAACCTGAACAAACTCCATCCACTGAGGAATGCTATGAAAGTAGTT